AAAAATGGTCCACCTGTCTAGGGCACTCTCCATTAATGGAGCTTTCAGGCCTGAAAGTTGCTCTGGGTGAATTTTTTACCTTGTAAACTTTTTAATTTTTTTTGACTTTTTGATTCTTGTAATAAACTGTTAGCTTAAAATACAAAAATATTTTCATGTCCTTATTCTGTAAGCTTTTTTCTAATTTTTAAAAACTTCTTATAGTTTATTGTTAAAAACTAAGACACACATACGTTAGCTTTGGCTAATCCTGACTACCCAGGGTCAGGATTATCAACATCACTCTCCTCCAGTTCCATATCTTGTCCCGCTAGGAGGTCTTTAGGTGCGGTAACAGACATGAAACTGTCACCTCCTAGGATAACATCCTCTTCTGCATACCTCATAAAGGACCTGCCTGAGGCTGTTTTACAGTTAACTTAAAAAAAAAAATAAGCAGAAGGAGTACAGTCTAAAGATAAAAAGTATAGTATAGTAAATACATAAAGCCAGTAGCCAAGTTGTTTATTATCAAGTATTGTATACTGTACATAATTGCGTATGCTGTATTTTTACATGTTTGGCAGCCAGTAGGTTTGTTTACGCCAGCATCACCACAAACACAGGAGTAATACAGTGTGCTGCAGTGTTACCATGGCTATCCATTATCATTAGGCGATAAGGATTTTTCAGCCCCATTATAATCTTATGGGACCATCTTCGTATATGGAGTCCGTTGACTGATTAATGTCACTGTGTGCCACATGACTGTATTTCTGTGGGTTTTGACAAATGCACACTCATGGCTCCACCACTAGTCATGAGTCAGAACACTTCCATATATGCTGTGTTTTGGAATAAATTATTAAAAGTTGTTTGATACTTACAAATCAAAGAAAAAAGTTTTTGTATATTTTACTGATATTCTAGGTTAGTTAAAGGGAGAAATGTGTTTGAATAATCAGGCAGTTAGGATACTAAGAGAGAAGAGAAGAGAGATTTCAGTTCTTCTTTTCACTATGATTTGGTATTTATTGTTATTCCAGAACATGGATTTGTTTTTCTAGTTTTTAAATAAATGATAGTTTTCATATAACAGATTGAGACTTTTTAAAGAGAAATAATTCACAAAATGTAATCAAATACAGCATATGCTTTTAAAATGCTACTTTTCTCAGTTCTAATTGCTCTCTGCTCTTCCTTGTTCACCCCATAAGCAAAAAGAAAATTTAGAAGTGACAAAATCTTGTCCTAGTGTTGTTTTAGTATTGATTAGTCTGGAAAGAGTTTTATGCCACATATTTTTATCGCTTATGTAGGACAGATTATATTTATAAGTAGATCTAGGTTAAAAGACATGAGATATAATTAGTAGGAAAGAGAATTCTAGCATGTGGAATTGTGAAAAATGGCTCAATTTTGCCAGAAATAACAGTGCAAGGCTGAGGCATGGGAATCATTTGAACCCTCGAGGTGGAGGTTGTGGCTTGCTGAGATTGAGCCCTTGTGTGCCAGCCTGGGTGACAGAGGGAGGCTGTTTCAGAAAACAAACAAACTGCAAATTAAAATAAAATACCATTTTCACCTGCTGACTTGGAGGTGTGAGTGCCTATGTCTATACCATAAAGAGATACAGAAAATGAGTAAGAATGAATACCCCAATCTGGTAAGGGTATACTGAATCTCACACTCTAATATATTAATGAACTGCAGATAGCATTAGAATTTCACACTGATACAGTATTTGTAAGGAAAGTGTAGTCACAGTAATGAAAAACACCAATTTGTCAGACTGATGCAAAATTATGGGACTAATGGGCATTTTCTTTAAAATTTTTTTCCAGAATATTTGTGATGGGAAAATTACATGTAGTTGGAATTCTACATTTTTCAAGACATGATTGTGTAAAAGTTACATTTTGCTTTGATTTTTTAATATTAAACATGACTGTGCACCCTGAAATCTGTAGCACAGTGGTTTTCAATATTTAGAAAAATGAAATATTTATATTTGCCTAATTCTGAAGGAATATAGTAACTGTATGGTAACTAGAAGTGTACTACGAAAAGGATTTCAGTTAAGCCAATAATGAGTATTCATTCTTGTGTTTTGTTTTTTTTTTTTTAAAGACACGTGTAACTTAACCTAGTCCCTTGTTACTTAAATAAGAAATATTCCTCTCTGAGAAATTTTCATTCGTGATCAGGGTTGTAAATGAGTTTCGTATTACCTTGAAGGTAGTAAGCATGGGAAATAGGAGTACCAGAGTCAGGAGTCATTTCTTTCAGCATCCATGAAACTGTGGCTAGCTTATTTGATAAAAGTAAAGTGAAATCTGTGACACTTTACAGTTATTTACTATTTTCATAGATACATTTTTGGTATAAATGGGATTTTTAAATAAGAACAGTAAGATTATTGTAGAAATTCAAAGACTAATAAAAGAATGTGTGTGGTGTGTGTCTTTGTGAGAGTGTGTTGTCTGCGTATTTAATAAGAAAAGTATGCCAGAACACTGAGGTAACTCGTAAGTAAGTAACTTTCTTAGAGCAAGTCCCTTCTGCTCTCTTTAGTGGATTACCCTTCTTGACTTCCATTCTTTTCATAGAGGGTCACAGTCTCTAAATATTTAAAATATTAGTATTTTATTTATATAGTTTTTATCTTATTTTAAAATGTTTTCAAGGCTCAAAAGAATTTACATAGTAAATTGGTTCATTGTGTATATTGGCAAATACTGAAGAGTTTAAATCTTACTAAATGTATAACAGTTTTCTGTAAGGCAAATTCTATTACGCTTAACAGGGAAAATAACCTCACTTTGCTTTTCGGAATCAAAAGTAAGAACACTTAGTAAAAGTTCTTCTGTGTCATTTTCAACTTTGGGTATATTGATGAGGCAGAGAAATAAGATTTCATTTCAAGTTTAATAAGATTATTATTTTACTTTGGAAATGTATTATGTGTGTATATATAAAATACATACATAAAATATATGTAAAAATATATAATACATGTAAAGTACATTTCCAAAGTTATATATATATAAAACGGACTGCAAATATATATATATACATATATATACATGTGTGTATATATGTATATATGTATTTGCGAATTTAGTTATATATACACACTATACATATATACACACGTGTATATATGTACATATGCACACATGTGTGTATGTATGTATACACACGTATATATATAACTAAATGCAACATATGTGTGTGTGTGTGTGTGTATGTGTGTGTGTGTGTTTGTATATATATGTATATGACTAAAGGCAAGATAACCTCACTTTGCTTCACAGAATTTAAAAGTAAGAAAAATTAGTAAAAGTCCTTCTATGTCATTTTCAACTGTTTTAGGTATATTGATGAGGCAGAGAAATAAGTTTTTATTTTCAGTTTAATAAGCTTATTATTTTACTTTGGAAATGTATTATATGTATATATAATATACTTAACATAAAATATATGTAAAAATATATTATACATATATATAAAATACATTTCCAAAGTTATATATATATATATAACTCAGACTGCAAATATATATATATGTATAACTAAATGCAAGTAATTGGTTTGTTTTGAGGTTAAGATCAATTTCAGTTTATATCCTTTGGTTGTGCCAAAATTGTGTCTTTCAAAAAAACAAACACAGCCAAGTCATTAGCTATAATTTTTCTTTTTCATACAGTTAGCATGCATGCATATCTGTTCTCTCTCTAACGATTACTATGCTCTTTTCCCAGATACTTTCCTTCCCTTCCTCCCTTCCATTTCTTTCCATTTATCTTTTTTCCTTGTTCGGGTGGGTGCAAAGCACTGCAGCAAGTCTTTTACCTTAACTCAGGGTAAGATGTCTACCTTCTCTTTTCTCTTCTTCTTGTATATGTGCTCAGTCTCTCTGAGTCACTTTTACTTTTTCACTTGAGAGGGGAAAGAGTTTACTTTTCTCTCTGATTTCTAGAGTAGTAGAGCTTGGTTAAATGGCACAATTCAAGCCTCTGTCTGCTGACCACTGATACTTGCTTGGTTTTCAATGGCAGGGAATTTCTTTTCTTTTTTTATTTGTAGGAATACAGTGCTGTAGAGTTGTTAACTTCTCAGACTTGAGTTTAAGTAAAATGAATGATCTTAAAGATAAGAGCCTTGTTTTATCTTTTTGTAGAGACAGGGTCTTACTATGTTGCCCAAACTGATCTTGAATTCCTTGGGCTCAAGTGATTCTCCCACCTTGGCTTCCCAAAGTGCTAGGCGTTACAGGTGTGAGCCACCATGCCCAGCCATTAGAGCCTTCTATACAGAAACTCCAATGCTGTCTCCTTCCAAACCTCTCTAGGAATAGAATATTACTAGTAGCCCAGCTTCACCTGTGCTGTCTCCCAGTCTCTATGCCTCCCAGACTAGCCACCATACTGACTTTTACCACAGTAATCAGTTTTCCTATTTTTGACTTCAATATAAGTAGAATCATATAACGCTCTTGTGTGTATAGTTTCAGTGTTGTATTTGTGGGGGTGATTGTGAGCCTGTAGTTTTTATTGTTTTGTTTTCTTTTGCTGTGATGCTTGGCTAGAGTAAAGCAGTTATTATTTTGTTTTACTGGGCTTCCCCTTTCTTTGTCCTTTGGGGATAGCAAGAGCTAACTTGAGCCTTTTTTTTCTTCTGTTTGCTGCCGTTGGTGTTCTTGGATTGCGGACTTCTCTGGTCTGGGATATATAAGGCCAAAAAATTCTGAATATTAGGAAAATATGTCTTTTCTACCTTTCTCGGGGCAGAAATATGATTTCACTTTTATCTTTTTTATAAACTTGGATATCTTTAGGAAAAAGAAAAAAAATTTATACATTTATGATCAATTAACAGTGAATATATTCACCAAAGCAAGGTCTTTTAACAGAAGTTAATTTGGGATAAAATATAATCTCATGCAATTTTGTTTATATGAAATTCAAACAAGAGGACTTTAACTCTTAGTAAATGTAAATTTCTGTGTTTACTTGTAGAATCTTCTAGCTGAAAAAGTAGAGCAGCTGATGGAATGGAGTTCCAGACGCTCGATCTTCCGAATGAATGGTGATAAATTCCGAAAATTTATAAAGGCACCACCTCGGAACTATTCCATGATTGTTATGTTCACTGCTCTTCAGCCTCAGCGGCAGTGCTCTGTGTGCAGGTAATTTATGTCTTTAAGAAATACTGAAACAATTATCCATGGCTTACATGTGTATTTTTTATGTTTAAGATATATATAAGATAATTAAACAGTTGTTTAATAGTCAAATATAACTGCATTTAAAAATAAGCTGAAAAATCAGTGTATTTTAGAAAATGATATGGATAGGCTAATATTCTTTTATTATGGGCAGATAAAATATTTATTGACCAGTTGCACATATAATCATAAAACTCTTTTTTCATCTTTATATTCTGCAGATTGCCTTGTAGGTCACTGAGTTACAGCTACGGTTAATGAAGTAGCCCCCTTAAATATATTCTGTTTTAAATTTTTAATAGAGAGTACTCACTTTTACCTAGGGTAGCCCGTTTAATTTTTGATACTGCCAGTGAGTAGAAATTTCTTTCTATGCTATGGAAGTAAACAGTTTTAAATGAATGAAGTATTTGTCAGGAGGAACAAATTAAAGAAAGCTTTGGACAAGTATGCATACTTGGCCAAAAGTATACAGCAAATACTTATTTAAATCAAAATTTTTATTTTCAGGTTAATTGTAGGTACACATCTTTTATCCAGTTTCCTCCAGTGGTAACCTGATGTAAAACTATAGTAAAAATTCACAAGCAGGGCATTGGCATTGATATTGTGGACAGTTCTATCACTGTAGGAATACTTCTTGCCCTTTAAAGTGACACCCAGCCTCCATTGTACTTCTTACCTATAGAATTTGACTTCTGACCTCTGGCAATCACTAACCTGTTCTCCATTTCTATAGTTTTGTCACTTCAAGAATCTATGTAGATGGAATTGTATAGTACATGACTTTTTGGGTTTGGCTTTTAAAAATTTGTCATAATTCTTTAAAAAAATCTCTACAAGTTATTATATTTATCAATGATTAATATGTTAAATTACAGAATAATATGCCATTGTATGGATGTACTGCAGTTTATTTAACCATTCATCTGTTAAAGGACATCTGGGTTGTTTCTAGCTTTCGGCTGTTGCAAATAAATGTCTTATCTGCATTTTTCTGCAGGTTTTCCTGTGAACTTAACCATTTTTTTTTTCTGGAAAGAATGCCACAGAGTGTGGTGGTTAGGTTGTGTGGTAGTTTCTATTTAGTTATATAAGAAACAGCCAAAATGTTTTCTGGAATGGTTGTATCATTTTACATTCTAGCCATCAGTCTGTTTAGTTGCTGCTTATCCTTACCAATTTGCTGTTGTGACTATCTTATTTTAGCCATTCTGATTCATATGTAGTGATATCTCATTGTGATTTAATTTTGCATTTTCCCATGACTAATGGTGTTGATCATCTTTTCATGTGCTTGTTTGTCATCTATATATCCTCTTTAATGAAGTAGCTGTTCATAGTCTTCTGCCCCTTTATAATTGGATTCTTTTAAATGAGTTTTGAGGGTTCTTTATATATTTAGATACTAGTCCTTTTTCAGATACTTGGTTTTCAAATATTTTCTTCCAGTATGTGACTTGTGTTTTCATCCTCTTTACAGGTCTTTTGCTGATTTTAATTTTGATGAAGTTCAGTTTATTAGCTTATCCATTTACAATTCTTCCTTTTTTTGTCAAATTAAAGTACTCTTTACCTAGCCCTAGATCCCATAGATTTCTTTTTTTTTTCCTGAAAATTTTCTCGTTTCATATTTAACAGTTTCATCTGCTCTTTGATTGAAAGCATGAAGTATGTCATCATTAAGTATGATACTAGCTGTAGGTTTTTTATAGATGGCATTTATCAAGTTGAGGAAGTTGGTCAACTTCCTAGTTTGCTGAGAGTTTTTATTATGAAATGAGGTGCTGCATTAAACATTTTTTGTTGGTGTCATTTTATATAGTTTTTCTTGCCTATGGATATAATCACTTACATTGATTGGTTTTCAGATGTTGAACTGGTCTTGTATACAGGAATGGATCCCATTTGATTATGGCATATTGTTTTATTATGTGTTGCTGGCTTCAGTTTGCTAATATTTTTTTGTTGAAGTTTGTTTGATTAAATTAATGATAAACACTGTAGTTTTCATTGTTTATAGTGTCTTTGTTTAGTTTTGGTGTCAGGATAATATTGTACTCATAAAATGAGTTGGGAAATGTTACCTATTTTAAGTTTTGGAAAATATTGTATAAAATTTGTGTTAATTCTTCTTTAAATATTTGGTAGCATTTTCTGGTAAAATCATCTGGGTCTAGAGATATCTTTTCCAGAAACTTAAGGACAGCACAGTTTGTCTGTATCTTCTTGGCTGAACACATGCTCAAGAGCAAACACGTTTTATATTGTCACTGCGTGTGCCAGGATTCGCCATGTTGTATATTCATTGTAGACTTGGTTTAGGCTTCTACATCACTCTGAGCTGTAGTGGAGACTGAAGTTATTAGTAACTTGGGTCAATGTAAGAAATCAGTTTTACTCAGATTAGATTGTAGAAAGAGATTGAGAGTGTTATGCAATTTCTAAGAAGCATTTTGTCATAACCTAATAATGACTGTGTAGGGACATGGTTAAAAGTAAGTAGAGAAAATGATGAGCAAAGTATTTTGAAAAACAGCACGTTAGGTGATTTTGAGTTCCACTACTATCAAATTTGAGGACCAGTACTTAAGTGGGTATTTATTGTCAGAATCAGGCTAGCACGTATGGATAGAGTATACATACCTTAATGATGGCAGTGGCAGGGCATCTGGAGAGGCATGGGTGGTAGTGGTGGGTGTGGCTGCAGGACAGCAGTAGCAGTGGGGAGATCCCTGTGCCTCACACCCCCTGTGCCCCACACCCCCTGTGCCCCATGTCCTTGAGACAGCTAACTGTGCCACCTGTACCCTCCTGAGGCTGAGTGGGACCCACTCCCAGGCTCAGAGCCTCTACCACTCTGGACCCTGGCCCCGGTCACTGCTCTCACGTGCCACTGCTATGGGGAGTGGGGAGAACACAGACAGTCCTTGGAGCCCTGGGGGCTGCTGCAGTGGGGCCAGGCTGAGTCACCTGCTGGTAGGGGAGCAGTGCAGTTGGGTCCAGAGGAATGGGCAGAGAGGGGACCTCAAGACAGAACTGGTTTCGGTACAGTGCTGTGCTCCATGGAGTCAGTAGGTGCTGGGAGCAGATCGTAGCCCTGCCCTGCTGAGCACATTTGTAGCCGCCCAGGTCATGTCTGTGGACCAGGGCATCCCTGTGCTCTTGGGGGCTAGAAGCATGCAGTAGCCTTGCCCTCCTGGGCACAGCTGCAGCGGCTCACCTGTGGCTGGGGACCCAGGCCTCTGTCTCTACTTTCAGTGGCCCAGGAAGACCCCCTTACCCCCGCAGGCTTGGAGGTGTCTGCTCCCACTGCCTGGCCTCTCCTTGTTCCCAGTGGCTGCTCCAGTCTTGGAGCAAGGGTGGGGCTGAGAGTCGGCACTGTTGCAGCCTGGCTGGATGTGTGTATGCTCAGGGGAGAGTGGACATGCCTGTCCCCTGCTGCCTCAGGCTACTCTAGACTTCAGGTACAAGTGAACATGGGAGGGAGGCTGAGCGGGTCCCTGAGAGATGCCTGGTGTTGGCCTTCAAGTGCACCTTGGCAAGAACAGCATGGGCACCATGAATGGCGGCAGGAGGCCAGTAGGCTCTGGGGTGGACGGGTCCTGACCAAGCCCCACCTTCAAGCCCTGGAGGGCCTGAAACCTGAGGGCTGCGCTGCCTGTCTTGCTGACCAGAGTGGGAATGTGTGGTACTTTCCGCTACGCTTGCCCTTGGACCAGTCAGTGCACACTGTATCCCCTCTGAGGCCCATGAAAGCCCCAGACTCAGCAAAACTCAAAGAGAGGATGGAGAGACTATGAGCCGAAGAGATGACCAGCTGTAGAGATAAACTGTCTGCTCTAGGGTCTCCTCTCTGCTGAGAGCTGAGTAGACAATATCAGGACCAGCTGCAGAGAGGTGCTGCTACCTTTTCTGCTGAGAGCTGAAGAGACTGCTGGACAATTTGCCTGGCAGAGAGGAGCTACCCTCTCTACTGAGAGCTGAAGACTTCTCAAGACACTTTGGCAATGGAGAGGAGCTGCAGGTCCCCTCTGAGCTGTTCTGTTTCTCAATAAAGCTCCTCCTTGTCTTGCTCACCTTCCACTTGTCTATGTACCACATTCTTCCTGGATGCAGGACAAGAACTTGGGAAATGCTGAATGACAAGACTAAAAGAGCTATAATACAAAGAAGGCTGGAACATGCCCTTTGCTTGCTATGTTGTGGACAAAGGGAAGAAAAAAGTTGCAGCCCTTCAGGGAGCCCATACCTGGGAGCTCCCTGAGCCAGGGCTGTGACTCCCTCTTTGAGGCCCTGTGGTTCCTGGTGTCTCCAAGCTTCCAGGTGCAACTGCATTTCCCTTTGCCAGCTGGGAAAGCTGCTTGCAGTGTGCCTGGTCCAGCTGCAGCTTCCCAGGAAGCCAGTGCCTGTGCTGGTTTCTGGAGCTGCACACCCTTCTACAGCCAGCGTGCCTGGCTGTCCTCGGTGTTGTCCAGACCCCATGCTTGCTCACACACTCCTTGTCACTCTGTGCCTGGCTCACCCTTGGCAGGCATGGGATCCAGGCTGGTAGTGGGAGCTGAGTGTAGCCTTCCAGTCCGAGTGGGCAGAATGAACCCAGTGGACCAGACTGAAACTCGGGCAAAGGCACTCAGGCCACAGAAGTTTGCATCTGGTGGCTAAGTGACACCCCAAGGATCCTGTAACATGAAGGGATGCTATAAAGCCCTACTAAAAAAAAAACCTTAATTTTTGTTTTGTGTAACAGTTCAGCTTCCACTAAAAATAAAACGTTTCAGGCATCCTCTAAATACTGTAAATATTTTAGGAAAATCATTTTTTTGTTGCTAAAAATTGAATGTATTGATTTCCTAAAATCACTAGTATTGTGAAGAAATAATCATATTTTTATAAGTTTAACCTAGAAATGTTATTTAAATATTTATTTCACAGTTACATATAATAAGATGTACTGTAAT